GGGGGAAATTAAATGGTAGAGAATTTTAGAGATTAAGATAAAATAAGATGTGTATTTAGGTAATTTTTCTTTAAAATAAATACATTCATAAATAGAAGAAAACACATTTTTACTATATTCATAAATGTGAAGTTGTTCAATTTTAATATATATATATATATATATATATTCTTGATTGCTAATTGGATTAATTATTCTTGATTTTCTTAATTAAATTGTACTATGTTATTAGTCCTTTATAGATATGTAAGAAATATATATGTTATATTTGAATTGTTTTTAAAAGTATACTTTCCTCGAAATATTGAAGTGACCATATAAGTCTTAACATAATATATGAGTAATGACATGATACAGCGGTCAATAATTCATAAAGAGACGTATGATTAAAAAAATGCCATAAAATTAATTATTTTTTGTATCATGGTGAATAATATTTCTTAAAAAATGAATTTCTTCATACTAAACAACACCAAGATCGTGTCACATTGACGCAATATTATTATTATTTTTCTTAAAAATATATAATTTTATTTAACACTCAACTGTTAGAATCATGAATGCAGATCTATCATCTGCCTATGGATTTTATCGTAATCAATTTCGTGTTATTTTAAAAAAAATTTATCTAATTCCTATTAACTACTCAAGAAAACAAGAAAGTCAACTATGCATGTACTAGCATTTACTATTAGTTTGAAGTTTGATTAATAAAACGATTATCATGGAAAAATGGAATTGTATTGAAGAGTTTTCTAGTTTGTGAGTATAGAAAATATCTTGTTATGAGTGATTAGAAATGGACTATTGTAATGTGTGAATTCTTATTAATCAGATTTCAATGTAGATATTTGACATCAGAAATCGAAAAAAGAAGAAGTTATCTTCGCACAATATTATAATTATTTTTGGAGTTGTATTGTAAATTACCTCTAAACTTAATTGATTTAGTAGGAAAAACAAATAGAAGAACTTCCTTAGCCAATAAATTTTAATTAAAAAGATTTTTACATGAAGTATGATGAAAATGCATGTACATTATTGTATCATAAAGGATATAAATGAGTTATAATGGAAGGGTTGAAGTTGATGAATTTCTATGTCGACCTCAAGTTAATATTATAATAATAATTGTGTTCACAATATGCATAAAAATTACTGAATTCTTGTGAACTAATGTACAAACTTCTACCTCCGCGCCTACTTAATAACTTATAGGATCCTGGAATTTCCTTAATTTTATTGTGAAATGTTAAAAAGATTGAAGTGAACAACCAACATGTACATAAATTATCATAGAAGCCATTGATCTATTTTTTTATAACAAAAATATTATTCAATTTGTCCAAGTATCATAGAGGGTTGTGACACTTAACATATTAAATTCAAAGTAATATTTAAACATGCAATTTGAAGTCATAATTTCAAATTCCCAATTGAAGAAATATCAACAAAAAAAAAACTCACAATACAACTAGTCAATAAATTTGGTAGTAATTAAATCTGAATTTACTATAATTTCCTATGCAATATAATTTTAGGTAAAGGTCATCATGGCAAGATATACATGAATTTGAGTTAGTTTGGTATTAAGCAATTATATATGAGCAATTCAATGTTGACCTAATTGTTGTTTAATTGCCCTCGTTTAGTCATTAGCACCTAACTTTAATTCAATTGCAATGCCTATAGTAATTAGTACATTCAATTGGAGATAATTGTGAGACCGCTTATGTCAGATACTTATTTTAGAGCCTCGATTAATTTGTATTAGGAATTTTTATACAAATAGTCGATTCAGGGATACTGTCTACCTTTTCAAATCTATATAAATAGATTATATATATTATATATATTATATACACTGATTGTATACATATCAGACATAACTATTTTTAGTTTGACTGATTAGCTTATGGCTATTTAGGTTAATTCTCCTCATGTAGATTGATATTATGTAAAGCCCAATTTAAAAAGAAATTGCTTCCCGATTAAAATCGAAATTTTCATATTCACTCTGAACTATCCAAACTTCCATCATAGTTGTAATGCAAGAAATTTTAAGCAGGTGACAGTGACATAAATGAATTATCTGACATTATAAAATAGTACTATTTTTTTAAGCAATGGATCTTGGGGTGACTTGTTTCAGATACCATTAATTATCCATTTATTCTGTTTTTTTTTTAATATTTTTTTTTAAAAATAATAATAATTCCGTTTAAGTAACACTAATGAAATTATGACTTTGTCCGTATGATTTATTGTTTCTTAATTTGGTTTCTGCACCCACTTTTAATTTCGAAGTAAAAGTTCTGAAAATTAAAAATTAAATGTTGAGGTGTCAATTATGAACCTCTTTAATTATACCAATAAATAAATAGCGGTCAGTGGACCCCACCTATTTTAAGTGAAACAGCTCTGTCTTTGTAATAATTATAAAATTTGATAAGTTGTGACTTTCAATAATAATATTTGAGTCTTAATTGCAATAAATGAAAATATGATGTTACTATTTTCTGTTACTTCTTACTCTTATACTATGTTGTAATTTTTTAAAAATCGTTAGTTTTAAATTATTATTATATTGTGTACTGTAATTTAATTATCACATTATTTTATTGTCGGCATTGTTTTTTTTTTTAGGCGCTATACTTGAGTCAAGGTCTTTTAAAAACAATCTTCTTTCTTTCCCGAGATGATGATAAAGTCCACATGTACCTTACCCTTCCCAAATTCCACTTGGTAAAGTTTCACAAGGCATATTATTGTTGTAGTTGTTTTATATTGTTTGTTATTTTAAAATTTTATTACATTACAAAACATAAAAACATAATATTAACAATGTGCGAGATTTTAATAAATGCATTAATATAATTAAAAACACAATTATGTGTTTGAGGAGAACATCTATGCAAGCAAGTAATTTTCTTTTTAAAATTATGTGATACAATAATCTCAGGAAACTAAGTTTATAATTCTACCCTTATTTAATATTTTTTTAGATAACTTTTCAATAAATGATATAAATCCATCTTTTATTTTTAATTTGTTTGTTGAAAATCTTTTTCAAAATCACATTTTATAGAGTAATGCAATGTGAGAATAATTAATCAATGTATAAAGTAATTACAATGAACATTAATTACTTATTAGTTTTCCTAGATTGATCAAATATCTATTTTCAAAACTAATTAACTATCAAGGGTATAATAGGGAGAATATTGTAATTTATGCATTGATTTTATGAAACGATAAGTATTATAGACCCACTATATTTAGTAAGGATGACATATAAAAAGTAACGGAGAGAGAATATTTTAGCACTATTCTTGTAGTGATAGCCAAACAACCTCTTTCACTTTGTTAGATCACTTCCAACTACAACTACACATCAAGGCAAGTTATAAGATTGCAGTGAAAATACAGTCTAAACCAATAGGAGATAACCCACAATGATAAAATATATGAAAACTGCAATGCCACATAATAATGAAAATTGCCATAAAAATGGAGAACGCGCGATCTTATTTTTGAAATTTCGGTGTTGTTTGCAATTAACTAAAACAACTATGTAGCATTCATAAGATAATACAATTCTTAGATAGAATCTACAACAATTCACTAGAACGTTCATGTTTTGACGATCCTTGGATGAGCAAATTTGTGCTGTTCCCATCTCTCAAGGATCAAACTAAAAAACTCATAACGTTGCACTGAGAACTTTGTGAAGTAGATGGTATCACTCAGGAAAGTCGATCCAGATTTGAATGTTTCAAAGATGCCCGCGCTGCACCCCAATTAAACAAAATGTCAATTCAAATGAAACGAGGTGAAACAGAAAAGGTATTAGACAGTGCATGTAAGTGAAAATACTAGTATTGTCTGAGAGGCAAAATATGTGAAAAATGTCGAACAAGAACTATTCTCTACCTGTATTTATATCCATGCAAGATTCTTTTTGATCCAGTCTCTCCCTCATCATATACTATCTCAATCTGCATCGAGAACCAACGAGTTAAGCATATGTAGAAAAAGGACCGCATGGACATTATGAAGCTACGACAGGAATGCTAGAAGGATATCTGTACTCAATAATGAAGAGGCTAAACACACAAGCACCAAAAGAGAACTTCACTGGCATCTAAAACAAAAATGACATAGCAACATACACTTTGAGATGGTTCCCATCAAAGCTTCAAAGTGATATTCTCACAATACTTAGTGACAAAGTTTTGACTATTAGCATACAACTGTCAAATTAAAAGGCATGCAAGTGAATCTGTGCAGGCTCCTCTACATAAGTTGTATGTACAAAACAAAGTAGTGGCGTCTATCTTATTCTCTTTTTTCTCTTCCTTCCCGTGAATTCTTTTGACATTCAGAATTCTGCCAGCTAAAGAACTATATTATAATAAATATCATAAGACAGGATGCCAAAGAGTATAAGCCAACAATGTTCACAACTAACCAGATCCTTTTTTGTCAGCATGACAAACGAGACTCATATTAACTATAAGCCCCTAAACCATCACTAACACACCACCAGAAGAAGCTAAAAATGGGGCACATACTCTGCTTTACTCGTGCCCCACATATCAGTCAAGTCATGTGTAATTGCTCACAGGTTTACATGAAAGAGAGATCTATCTTGTGTACACGGACAATTAAAGCACCATCTCAATATAAATCAATTTTTCTTTCTTGATGCTGGACAAGACCAAGGTGCCACAATGTATCGGTTAAGTGACAATTATAAGGAATATTAAGGTTAAAACTTACCATTTATCTAAGCATAAAACGAGCTCAGAGCAATTGGACAAGATCTAATCATGAGACAGCTAGCAACATTGACAACATTGACATGGAATTACAGCTGTCTTATAGTGCCATGCCAATTAAAAAATCAAAATCTTTCTTTGCATGTGAATTACAAATGAAATCAGTAGAGGTAAAACATGTCATCGACGTGCACACTATTTATCTCCAGATTCTCACAAGTAAACGCCTTTGCTTTTGTTATGGGCTATTTTGCTGTGTTCCTTAGATAAACAAACCTAGATAAGTAAAGCTACATTTAAGACAGTTAAGCCAGTAACACATTTTTTTGCCAAGACAGTAAAACTAATACATAATGCACAAATGAACAATCAACTCTATTACAGGACACGACAAAGAAATGAGAAACAAAAAAAAGAATCAATGCAATGTACGTACGTTCAACTCTAAATATTGCAGACAGTATTACGTCAAAATCTACAAACAGAATAGCTGGAAAGAACCCAAGAAAATGGTCAACTGACACATTAGAAAGTCAATAACAACAACATACCCCAGTATAGTCCTACAAGTGAAATGCAAATAATTGACATATTAAAGTGAAAAATGCAAATATAACTTATATGCAGATTACCCCCTTCCCCTTGACCCCTTGCTATGCCTAGGAGGAGGCCCCTCCCGCTCCTCTTCTTCCCACCCTACAAAAGCTGGTGGAGGAGATGGTTCGTACCTTGAAGGCTTCCTTTTGAAGTGCCGATCATCATCACTGCTCTCATAATCCACACTCGCAGTGGTACTCTTCCTTGATCCAGTAGTCGTTTTGTACTCTCCATGATACCCATTTGTTGTGCCACCCCTGTGGCTCGCCGAAGAACTCACTGGCACTTCACTCGAGGATGGCACCTTTCGCTTCTTTGAAGCTGCTGCTGAATCTTCAGCTGGGAAACTGATACGAGAAAAAACACTCGCCTTCCTCTTATCAACGGATTTGGATTGCGGTTCAGATGGGCCTATGGAGGATGGTTTGGCGCTAGCTGAAGATTCTGAACGGTGATGGCTACTGCTACTGCGATGGGTATGCTCGCGCTGATGGCGGTCCTCATGGTGATGATCGTCATAATCTTCATACTTTTTCTTGGAAGAAGGGCGAGGAAGTTCAGGGTCACGCGATCGACGGTCTGGAGACAACCTCTCAGATCGGCGGGGGTAATCACGGTCTGGTGATGGCCTCTCAGGTCGGCGGTGGTGGTCAAGGTCTGGCGATGGCCTCTCAGGTCGGCGGCGGTGGTCTTTTGTACTCTCCATGATACCCATTTGTTGTGCCACCCCTGTGGCTCGCCGAAGAACTCACTGGCACTTCACTCGAGGATGGCACCTTTCGCTTCTTTGAAGCTGCTGCTGAATCTTCAGCTGGGAAACTGATACGAGAAAAAACACTCGCCTTCCTCTTATCAACGGATTTGGATTGCGGTTCAGATGGGCCTATGGAGGATGGTTTGGCGCTAGCTGAAGATTCTGAACGGTGATGGCTACTGCTACTGCGATGGGTATGCTCGCGCTGATGGCGGTCCTCATGGTGATGATCGTCATAATCTTCATACTTTTTCTTGGAAGAAGGGCGAGGAAGTTCAGGGTCACGCGATCGACGGTCTGGAGACAACCTCTCAGATCGGCGGGGGTAATCACGGTCTGGTGATGGCCTCTCAGGTCGGCGGTGGTGGTCAAGGTCTGGCGATGGCCTCTCAGGTCGGCGGTGGTGATCAAGGTCTGGCGATGGCCTCTCACGTCGGCGGTGGTCAAGGTCTGGGGAAGGCCTCTCAGGTTGGCGGGGACGGCTGGAGCTCGACGGAGCTTTCTGTGGAATCATCAATGAACATATTAATATCAACTATTGCAAAAACAAAGAAGAGTCAAAAACACAATGCAGGTCTAAAGCCATAAAAAAATTAGGAGATTCACGGTTATTCAAAAAAAAACATTGAAGGAAATACACGCACTACAAAAGGAGAGGATATAAATTTTACAACAAATTTTTTTCTTAAGAAATTTACATCTCTTTATTTATTTATTTGAGAACTGAGAAATTTACAACTCTTAACAATAGGCTCTTCAATTCAGGTTGAGTTTTCAAAAAAGTATTTCCTCAGTTTGAGTTCTTTTTTCTGCACTTGGTTTTTCTTTTAATTTTAAGAGGTGTAGCAAATATTTAAAATCAATACACCTTCGTACATTTCTAGGGACCAATCAAATGTCACTCCATTTTTTGTTAAAAGATGATTTACGTCACTCCATTTTTGTTATAAGATGATTTACATCACCCCATCTCCCACTCCACTTCAATGATTCTTTTGTTTCCAAGTCTAGACTTTAGAACACTTTTGGAGTCCTATCCACTTCATCATTTTTGTCAAATTAGGCGAACAGTTTCATCATAAAACGTTTTTGCAATAGCCAAATCTCAATGCTGTTGGGAAAAGGTTTATTTTTTAAAAAAAAGAGGGACGTAAATAAGGAACAAAATCACTTATCATCCACCACATCCAATGAACAGAAACCAGAAAAACGAACTAACAAAAAATATAAACCAACATCTTAATGGGTACTGTTCTGATAGCTCCTAAATTGAGCTCCAGTCAACTGCCCGGCAACAAAAAACTGCCACAATAACGTTTGTCATCAAGCAACATCAGGCATTCGAAAGGAGCACAAACTACGGTAGGAAGTCATATATCCCCTTTTGCATAATGGGAAACTGATCTTCAATACGCTCAATCGTCAAGAACCCCCTATCAAGGTAATCCAAAGAAATGTGTCCTGTACTTATGATCTTAGAAAATTATCCTAGAAATTCAGTCTCCAAGACTGTTGATTTTTTGACTTTACATGTAATAGAAAGATGAAACTGGAAACTAGCTGTTAGCTGCTTCTTGGCTAAACCAAGCCAAACTTTTCCCATAACACACAGCATGTCAACTAAAATATAGGGCCAAAATAGCCAAGAATATTTGATGATCAAGATACATACAGATTTGGGTTTCAGGGAAGGACCATCAGCAGTGCTCCCAACTTCCCTTGCATGTTCCCTGTCTTTAGGGAACTCCCTGCTGGAAATGACAAAAGGATATTATCAAATTGTCATTAAAGGTGATCAAAAGAGTAGAAGCAGAAAAGACAATGACTGTTGACAATAATAACCTACTAAGGAGGATATAAATAGATTGTGCAAATTGATAGCAACATGACTTCCAAGTATAGAAAACCTAAGTTATACAGAGGCACTTGGAGTAAACAGAGCGCAAAAACCTCAATACTCAAAGCTCAACCATTGAACGTAATTTCAATATCATCCACCAAGATGAAATGAACCATGACATGTAAATTCTTTGCAAAACCTCAATGCATAGTGCTCAGACCACTGAATGTGATTTAACATCACCCACGGAAAGAGCACCATAATGTGCTGAGAATTAACAAGAATGGTCAAATTACCTCTCTCCACGTCTCTCGCTCTCACGCTTCCTTCTCAGATCAGCCTTTCTAGCCTCAAATTCTTCTCTGCTCATGATTGGTGGGCCAGCATTAAATCCCATCCCAAAGTCTGCTGCAAGGTCCCTAAAATTTGGTGGCCAATTTTATCCAGTCAGGTACCGCTAATCTCAAATGCGCCAACAAATATGTATACAGATACATTAATATAAAAGTAGTTAAACTACAATATGTGACCATTATCAGAAACTGCAAGACAGAGACCCGAAAACATGTGAAAATACTTATCAGAGATTAAACAGAGAGAAGTTTAGAATAAAATACAATGGAAGTTATACCTCTGCATTGGAGGACCGAAAGGCAGCATAAAACCTTGTCCGCCAAATGGATCATGTGGTACGACAGGAGGCGGCATAAAGGGCACATCTAGAGGACCCATCCCATAAGGATTGTATGGCATGGCACCATGATAAGGGGCTCCAAACCCATCTAGTCCAGGTTGCATGCCTGTCCAATATGGATTATAGGCAGCAGGACCCATGGACATCATATAATTCTCGGCAGCAAGATCTTGAGCAGCTCTCCACTGCATCTCAGCAGCAGCAGCTGCAAGGGCATCAAGTAATTTAGGAACTAGGAAGTGAACAATGCTCCATCAAGAACGCAGACATAATAAACAAAGTTTTATTCCAAAAATAGTTAACAAATCTATCAATACGTGCACAAGAGGAAGGGAAACGAGTGCATACGGTTCAAAGCCAATCGTGTTTTTTTCTTCTTCTTTTTCTTTCCTGAAAACATAAAAGAACAATATCTAGATGAGAACACTTCCCGATCCAAGGGAAGTAAGAAACCAAAGCATCTCCTCTAAGCTGCTCGGTAAGAAAAAAACAATAACTTGTGAATCCAAAGAGGTAAACGAAAGAGCACCATTACCTGCCTCCCCAACTACAGGCTTTTGCTGAACCTCTTCATCAGCCAATGGAGCACTTCCCGGGGATACAGGTTCTTTAACACTGACGGACTCGTGTGTAGCTTCAGAAACATCTGCAACCTTCAAAGTTCTTCCTCTCTCTAACATTTGCTGAGGAGCACTGCCATTCTTACCCTCTTCTGCAATCTCCTGGGCTATAGAATTTTCCTCCTTAAGAGGTGGAGGTGGTGGTGGTGGTAGTGGTGGTGGTAACAGCTCACCCTTTGAAGCTGCAGATTGTGAAGGAGATGGAATCTTAGGTGGGAGAATGCGTGCTGACTCCATATCTGGAAGATATAACAACAAAGGCAAGACCTGAGCCTAATAAAAACATCAAGCAGATAATGGACTTGAACGAGAGAACAGTTCAGAGAGTTAGAACCGGTACTGACCTTGAACTTGGAGAGCACTACCCCCATGCTCTGCACTGCTATTATTTGATTCCAGTATTCTATTAATTGTATCCCTCAAGGTCTTGTTGGGTAACAGGTCATCAGCAAGTATATTTGTGGCCCCACAGACACACACCGACTTCGAGATGATATGATCCCTTATGCCTGAGGATCACCCTTGCAATCAGTTTGAAATTCAAGAATACAGGCACACTAAAATTGAATAGTAAAAAACCAAATTTCACTGTAGAAGCTACGACACTACACCCACATTAAACAGAAAACTCCTTGCATTTATAGCAAAAACTCTTTAAACAACACAACACTCAAATTAAACAGCTTGCTCCTTACATTTATCGCAGAAACTGGTAAAACAACACTTGCTTGTTAACACTGCATCTTTCATTACTTCTTTACACAAGGGACAATGAAGCTCTGGTGGAAGATCACCAACGGAACGTATAGAAGGCATCCCTTCAACTTCTCTTTCAAAAGCAGCCCTGCAACGAGTGGGTCAGTCATATACATTCTTTTTACAAGCAAACTCAACAATACCAACATAACACGAAATCTTACTCATTGGGCTTTAAAACAGCACTGGCACCACTTGGTAAAGCATATGAACCATCTGGGGTTGCCATTAACATGGACTTCGGAATGCCAGTTGGAGGTTTCACTTTCCTAATGTCAAAATTGGGGTCACCATTTGTTGGACAGTGCTGAATGAAATGCCCTGTAATGATTTATGTCATAATTGGATACAATGACTCAGCATGCTAATAGCAGATTTCATAGACAATGACCACTAGGTGGATGAAAAATAAGAAGCATACCAGGCACCTTACAGCGATGGCATACATAGCCTGGTGGTGGTGTTTTCCGTTCCAACCCACCACCCCAACCTGGAAGAGCAGCATTCAATTTGAGCATACATAAAAAAAAACAGCTAAATATTCAATTACAATTAGTAAATCATCTAACCAGTAGCAACATGAAAATTTAATACATACTTAGAAGCATCTTGACAGTTATCCAACCACATGGCAAGTCAAAGAAACTTGACCACAAGATCTTAAAAAGTTTCAACCTACAATTGGCTTGATGAGTCTTTTGTCATTAAATTTTACAAAAGAATGAAATGAAGGCATGTGGGACTGAGACCGGCTTAAATGGAGTGACTTAGACAGTAAGGATTCATATAGCCCGTCAACTTATTTCAGATCAACGCATAATTGTTGTAATGAAATGAAGCCATGGAAAGACTACTATGTCAAGTTAGCAAACACTTAAGTGAACAATGTCCTTCAACCCAACACGGATAGGAAGATTCATAGTAGATTAACAGACAAGTTAGAGCGAATTACCAAAACCTCGCCCACCACGTCCACCCATCATTCTTCCACCTTGACCTCGTCCATAACCTCTACCAGCACCAAAGCCATCAGAGGGTTGACTGCATTAACATAAGGACCATAAGAATCATTTTCATACCAATATCATCACATATTAGGAAATAGTAACAGCTAATGCAATAAAAACACACAGTCAAGTGTGCATGAACATTTTAAAAAGGAGAAAAAGGAAGCTGTCCCACCTCTGCCAATCTAAGGCTGGAGTGTCAATTAAAGCTTTGATCTTACTCTCCTCATCAGCTTTACTTGGAGGAGGAGCATCCTGCACTTGGTTGCTTGACTGGACTGGTAATGCTTCAGGAATAGCGTACAGATCATTTCCAAATTCATCCCATTCAAGATCTTCAGGCTACAAAATGGACGTAGATATTTCAGTATGCTTAAAGATCACCAGTTGTTACGACTACAATCACCAAAACTCTCCTAATGCAGAGTGTTATGGGCGCTTACATATTTGGTGGCAGATGACTCCCCTCCCACAAAATTACTTCTAACTGCTTGAGCCTCCTCAGATCGGTATTCTACTTGGGGCCTGCAGAAAACACATCTTGGTCATATTCAAAATAGCTATTATGGCACAGCCCAAAAGACAAAAGCAGTATAAGGACATATGATTACCAATTCCCACCCTGGGGGGAGGGGGGAGGAAAAAGAAGCTTTGAACACCATATTCAACAAAATACAAATGACGGCATCAGCATCTATTCTCCCCCCGTACACTTCCCCCTTTCAACCACCCTCCACACAGTGCAAAGGCCTATACCCACCCCACCACCATTCTACAATCTTCACAAGGGAAAGGAAAAAATAAAAGAAAAAGGATCTTGAGATTTAGTAAACACCCATAACACCCCACCACCAGCTCCAAGAAGAAGAGAAACCCACACAACTCTTTTCTATGGAATAAACAAGGTAACCAATCCAGGTAAACTGTCTTTTTTCCAAAGATTTTGAATTCTCAAAGATTAAGCAGTATTTGTATTCATAAACCTAACAGATGAGAGTCAAAAGGATCAAGATTAATACTCGTCTGGTTCTGTTACAGGTGCAGTAACTATGGGCATGCGAGGTCGTCCAGGAACGCGACGAATCAAAACACTAGTATTTTTGGGAATCAAGGTGTCCTCATCAAGATATTCTGAAATTGCAAAAAGAGAAGACAAAACACATAAAGCCCTGTAGAGTTCACAAACATATGGATGGAAATACAAATTATGCAATCAATTTGGCATGATCCACCATTCAAGCGCCTTAATCAAAACAAACTATTTGTCGAGCACTATATTCCTTACAAAGGATCAACTAGACCATGAGATTTGCTGTGTGACATCAACCTTGAGTGAAATAGGCTCTTTACATAATACCTTTTTCCTCGGCTAGCACTAGTAAGGTACATATTGTGTGCAAGGTAGTACATTACATAGTGGTATTGGTTAAGTTCTTCAAAGACTACTATGGAATAACCAAGGTTAAGGTAAATGCTACACAGGACGATATGGTACTAGCTCAAGTGTTACAAACCCTAACACTAAAACATTAACGAATAGACGACTCTCCTTTTAAATCAGTATAATTATGTAAGCCAACCCATTAAGATGAGATGCCAGAATTATATTTCACCAAAGAGAATGAGAACTACAATCAGACATTTTTACAATGCAAAGGTCCTTTAAAGAGTCAATGCATCATCCTTCTCATTTCAAAGGCATAAATTAGCAACTCAAAATTAAATCGAATCACTGTGATCATCTTCTTGACTGTTAAAAGCCACTTCTTTTTTTTGAAAATGCTTGAATATAAACAGCACATACTAAAGTACCTAAATATATTGATAGCAGAGAGTTGATAATTTAATCAACCAAAATAACTCCCCGAGAAACACCTCCAGAACAATGCCTGAGTTACACTAAACCCCAAGGTCAATGTCACACAACAACTTGCGCAATACTACTAGAAATGCAACTAGGAATGCACGAAAATGACTAACTATATTGAAGCCAACCAACCTTCGTTAGACTGGGCGTTGGTGACAACGAGGTCAAAATCTGTACCCCTGCCCAGATGCTTGGATTCAAATATTTTTTCTTTCAGGTTACCAACAGTAATAAAGTGACCGTCAATTGGAATTGAATCATAATCTTTCGCACTTTTAAACTTAAAATAAACTGACATAGCTCTTTTTTTCTTAAAATTCCTTTTTTTCCTCAAACAATCAATATAACAACAAAGAGGCCTATCAAAAAATTATAATAGGCCTGATATTGAACTCAAAGAAAATTGATATAAAGTACAAAAATATTAAAAGCTCTTTTTTCTAGCTCACAACTTCTCTTCAATAACTCAGGAAAATCAGTCAAACCAAATTCCTCCAATAGATCAGTTGAACATCCTCCACGAGCAAAATAATCCGCAAGCTTCACTCAGCAGCAATATCTAAAGGCGTGCTTATTAACCAAAATCAAACCACTGCTACCGCTACTCCTTCGACTGGGGACGACCTCGATCCGATCTATCAAATCACGCCGAATGTCTCTCTTAGCGTACACACTTGAGGAGGTTGATGATTCTATCCGATAAACTCAGGAGCTGATTCTGTGGGTTTATAGAACACCGGATTCTTCAGATCGATTGAATTAAATCGAATTCAATCAGCGCCGACAGACCAAACATAAACCGACAATTCTTCTGAGAACAGGAGAGTTTTCTCTACCGGAAAACGTCAATTCCTCTTCGCGCACGGTGAACTCATCGGAAAATCCGTTGAATTCCGAAGCGAATCGAACGGAAAACTGAAGAGAAAGCCAAAAGAGTAAAGCTTTATGGGGGGTGTCGGAACTAGGGTTTCCACGGATGAGAAACTGATTGATTGTCGGGGTGAATTTGGGGATGAATTCCAGGTTTTATCCAATTCAATAAAGATCTCTGTTACAGATTAGTCCATGTAGTTTTACTATTTTCAATTTAAGCCCCAATGTTTTGTGGAGGCAGTTGTTTTGAATAAAAAATTCACATTCTTTAATTTCGTTTTAGTAGCAAATTGTTTTCTTATTATTTATTTTAATTTAATTAATTCATTTAGTTAATTATTCTCTAGTGTATCTATATCTATTTGTTTTCTTATTTATGATTTATTGATATATTTTTAAGGTGTTTTCTTCATAGTCAATTACTTAACTAATTATTTTGCTACTTTGTTGACTAATTCAAAAAAATTATAGTGCATTCTACTAGTACGATATATATGTAAGTAGTTCTATTTTTCTGACTATGAAGAAAATTAGTTATATATATGTTATGACCCTCGAGGTCATTTTCTTAGTTTTTCTATAGCTATCATAAATTATTTATGATTTATTGGGATGGTCACTGGACAATTCGTTAAGTTTTTATGCAAGTTTCTGTGTTTTGAAGCTTCTGAAGTCTAAATGGATATTTGGTTCGGGTCCCAAGGCTTCCAAGCTCATTTCAAGCTACCTTGTGATTTTTTGCTAAAATGAAGCATTGGGTGTGAGATTTATCTTTCTTTAAGATGACTTTCGTTGGAAGTTTCAATAGCTTCATTGAGTCTGAAATGACGAATCTAATTGGGTATCATATTCAATTTGCGTTCATGGAATTATGAATAAATCCTGAGTGCCTACCTGAGATTTGGGATTTTAATCCAAGTCTACTGATGCACCAACTATTAATGCAGCTGCTATCGTAGAGCCTGACTCACTTTGGCAAAGCCACTTCCAACTCAACTGACCTTTGCTCTTGCAGAGCTTGATCGCTCTTGCGGTCTTGTTCCAACGGAGTCGGATCCACTCCTGCAGAGCTGACTAACCATGTTAACCATTGCTATTGGATAGCTTTTTGGCATCGATAATATTGCCCCAACGACCTTTGGTTCGCCGAAGCGATGATCGCTAATAGTTATATATGTCTCATCTCTTCATCCTTTTATTGAAATGAACAAGAGTTGGAGTTCAGTTCTAAGGCAATTTCTTTGAAATTGTGGTGTTTGAGCTGGTATTAGCTTCAGAAAGCTGTTGGAGTCGTTTTCACGCTTTGAAATCCGTCTACGTATGGTTGGGAGATGATATAGTATACACATACCTTACCACCATCTCATAGAGGTAGAGAATTTGCCTCTGAAAGACCCTCAACTCAAATGCATCAAAACCTTAGTAAATGAAGAAGAAAACATAACAACTAGTAAGAACAATAATGTCAAGTCTACAAAAAATTAAGAAACAATAACTACATATAGCAAGAACTACAAAGGTACGACTAGTGCTATGACAAGCACTAACAAGCCTAAACTTTCGCAAGCTAAGACAAAACTCTACCTCTACTAACCTTCTATCCTAATACGCGACCTCTACTCCTTTCTATTTAGAGTTATGTCATCGATAATATGAAGTCGCATCATATCTTATCTTATCACCTCTAACCTTCTACATGCTCTTTACAACCAATCTCTCGCACCTCTTAACTAGAACGTCTATGATAGCATACCTCCGTTAAAGAGTTTAGATAACATTTTGAAATCAATTTTTGTATCTTTTGTATTAAATCAAATTATTGATCATCAACAAAACTATTATGAACTATGATGTATTCATAATATAATAAAATAATTATTTTATTTACTGTTAACGAATAAATAAAGTAAAAATTGGACAATTAAAATTGATCAGAGGTATGTAATATTTTATTATTTCCAGCAAACACACTTGTCATCCTTGAGCCGATCTGACTTTGGCAGCTATAACTTCTGGTAGTCTGCCTCAGCAAACTGTGACACGATATCACATTTACAGCTCGAAGAGAAAAGCAGAGTACGGTAAAAAGCGAAAAGGAGAGAGAATTGGGATTTGGGAAGAGCAGAAAATGGGAAACTCTCAGTCGAATTCCACGAATCCACGCTTTGATTTAGCCAAGAGGCAATTTCTCTCTAACACTAAGCAATGGTTACACAGTTGAATATTATTTGATTCAATTTTGAACTCAAACTGCATGTGTTAATTCTTTTTGTAGAGCTTTCACAGAGAGGAAATTGGAAGACCTGAAATCCTTGTTCGATTCACTAGCTGCACAATCACAGAGCAATGGAAAATACGTTTCTCCTTCTGTTTTCAAGGTACTTTTTGTCAATTTTCTGTATTGTCTGGTTATTTTTGGGGTTTTTACAATGAAATTGGTGATTGGGTGTTTGTGCATTATAGGCGTATATTGGAGTTGAAGGGCCGTTGGGCGATAGAATGTTCGATTTGGTCACCCAGAAGCGTAAGGATCAAAAGCTTACATTTGAGGACCTTGTGATTGCTAAAGTAAGTATTTTTGGTCTCATACTCTCATTCCACTGCCCGTTGAACTAGTTACCCTAAAGTTTTCTCATTTGTTGACTTGATGGTATACAAAGGCATTTATTGATTGAAGAATTAACCCGAATATCTCCCATCTCAACCCCATAAACTTAAAATAGCCGGCAGCTGTATAATTTATATATAATCCATGTATAATATTTGTAATCAATGTATACCGGCTAGGAAAGTAAACAGTGAATCCGACCGGCTATTTGGGTAAAGATCCTTTTTTTGTATCCGTTTTTCTAATAGCTTTTCTAGTTATATAACTTAAAATGAAATTTATATGGGTTAGTATTTGAATTCACTCCATCCATAGTATTGTATGTTGATGGATTATTTAAGTTGCACGCAAGCTGGCCGAACACCATGTCCATTAAGGACAACCTGGTGCACTAAGCTCCCTCTATGGATGGGTTCATGTGAAGGACCAAACGGTAGTAGGTTTATTGTATGCGGACTTGCATTTATTCAAGAGGCTGTTTCCACGGCTTAAACCTATGGCCAATATTATAAAAGAACATTTTCCTACACCACTTCATGACTTTTCGGGTACAAGCTCAATTGTATCATATGATCCACCTTCATTATTGTCACCTCTTACAGTTGTTGTATTAATAGGATGAGCAATTTCCATACTTTGCCCTTCACTCTATAAGAATAACAACATCATGAACATTATTAAGTAGTAACAACCTCAATATACAAGGAACTAGATAGATGTTATTACATTGTATTTGAAAAAGAAGTACATCTACAATATGAAAACTACATATGAGTTTTCTACATATGCTCGCAGAATACATCTAGTTCACAGTAAGGTTGAAAAAAGCGGGTTGTGTTAGCCCAGATAGGTTCAGGATTAGGGTAAAGAAATAATCGATTGTGATGAAGCCTTTATCCTCATGGTTGTTCTATCCTTAGCATGATATATTGGCTACTGGGTTTGGCATTAAATAGTCTAGAGCTTCCATTCTATTGCCTCCCGGTATTGAGGTGTATAATCAAGGATTCTCACATCATGCACAGGTGTGGGTAAAGAAATTAGTTCCACCAAAACAATATGTGGATATGATGGTAGATGAGAAAGGATTCCCCATCATAGTGGATATATAGAGTAATATGTTTGTCCAAGAGAGTCTATTTCAAATAGGTAGTTGGAACATAGGTTGATTTATAGGGAAGTCAAAGAATCTTTTCTGATAGGTATGAAGAAGTAAATGAAATCAATGTCTACCTTAAACAGGACTAGAGGAGAACAACTATGTTGCATGTCTATAAAGAGACTTGGTGGAAAGGAGAGAAGGTTAAAAAGATGAACAAAACAAGCTATAATTTGTGGTATTTTGGTTTGTGAGAGATCAAAGTAGGCACGGGGTAGAATTCATGTAGAACCAGGACATAAAGATAAAGTTGCAGAAGTTAAAAACATGTTGATAGGATTATCTTAGTGTGGGAAAGAAAACAAAAAGTATCGTTAGTGCATAGGCTTCACAAATAGAATTAGATGAGGAAACAGAAACTAAAATTTTAAAATATAGATTCCCATTGGTACAAGGGGTTCTACGTGACCAACAAATGTTTGTACAAGGAGATTTGAATGGATATGTGGTTAGATATGTGACACTTAAACTGAGTACATAACAAATATTGTGATACAAGCAATGGAGAAGGGAATGTTTTAAAGTTTGCATTAGCTTGTTATCTCTATTTTTAGGCTTTCAGCTAAGACCTACTTTGAAGAAAGAGAACAACATTTGATGGTATTTAAGAGAGGAAGCAGCAATAGCCAAATAAACTTCATTCTTACTAAAGGAAGTGACAATTCCACATGTAAGGGCAGCAATGTTATACCATGAGAAGACCTAGTCCTAACCATCCAAAGTAGACTGGTGCTCTTGCATGTAGAGCGAAAGAATGGAGTGAAAATGGAAAAGAGAAATATGCAACCAGATTTTAATGTGCACACTAAAAGGTTTAAACCACAAAACATTCAAGGACAAGCTATTGGAGGATGGAGCATGAGACTTAGAAGTAGAGATAAGATCTGCAGAAGTAAATGCAAGTTACATCTTTATTCTTTACTGCATTTGAGTGCAAATTCCATTTTAATTAGATTGTATGCCAAGCTAGTGCATATAGGTACTCCAAAAGAATGAAGAGTGATAAGCATGGAAGAGATGTAGAGGTTGTCATCATGCTTATGTAAAAGACAAGTGTGCATGAGTGTCTTACCCTGATTTAGTCTACAGAAAACTGAGTTGTAGAAGCTATGGAAGACACTTGGTAGTTTTTGCAGTTTAACCAAGTATGAAAGTAAAAGGAATTTTTATATTGGTTTGGATCACAATATTCTGCTTAGTCTTATGTGGTTTCTCAGCGTCACCACTAACAAGGCTAAGTCGGTTTTCACCGGATCACCAAAACCGAATGCCACATCTTGGTGTGAAAACAAGAGTGTGTGGTGGGTGGGTGGGATTTCAAGACAATGCTGGGGGAGCTATATCCAAACGTTATTGGTGTATCAAGGGGTCATGCCTT